TGGGGAATTCTGGGAGTTGAAGTCCACTCATCTTAAAGTGGCCAAGTTTGGACAACACTGCTCTAAACAAAAAAACCTCTGTGAAGTGTCATTGCCTTTTCCCAAGGATATTTGAAATGGAGGACAGGAAATAGTGGCTACAAGGAAAACTACCTTGTATTCTCAGAAATATATAAGCATGCTACTTCCTGTATCATAAAATTGTTTCAGATGATTTGTTTAATGAGTTAAATGCAATAAAAGTTAGATTTCCATCTGTTCTGCACTTTACCCAATACCCCTGACTTGTTTTAATTTTAGCGATGACTGAAGAACTGGCTCATACAGAGCAATGATTATTCTCTATATCAACTTCGATCACACACTGGATATAATGGGAGTTAAATAAGTACAATTCAAAACTAAAAGAGAAAGAAATGCTGATATTTGGCAAGCAGATGCAAAATTCTCTCTGTGCTAAGCAGCAACACCACATTCAATGGACTAAGTTTATTGTATCTTTGCACTACATTTTTAAATTAGACAATGATTATTTATCTTTCAGGCCTAGAACAACAGCTGATTTTTCTTCAGATATTCCCTAATCATTGCATTAAGTATGAGATCAGCATGGTACACTAGTCCACCTTCTAGTATTGGAGATCCAGATTCAAGTCCACCCTCACCCATGGAAACTCACTTAGTGACTGTGAGCCAGTCACTGTCCTCAGCCAAATTTATCTCACAGGGTTGTTGTGGAGGGAGTAACCTCATGTGAATGGAATAGAACTTTATTACAGTTAGTGACCAGTGTAAAATAGAAAAAGAAATACAGCAAAGTATCTAGACACATATAGCTAAATGAATAAGTAGATTTTATAAAATAAAATCAAAATATAAGTATAGAAGGGAGGGAAAGAAAGGAAGAAGGGGCCATTTTCAGCACAGCAGTGAAAATGTATTCTAAGTATTTAGACCACTTATACTCCACTTGATGTCTATCAAAAGTTACTTAGCAGTCAAAAGAGAGCTTTTGAAATTCCTTTCAAAGGAGAAGATAATTTTGGTGACATTCTCTAGGGCTGAGTCTGGTGTTCTTGCACTTTTAGGTTGATGAGAAACCCATGGGAGTTGTGTGAACATTCTGTCTTTCACTGTGCCATCATCTGTTCAGTGATCTTCAGTCTCACTGGTGTTCCATGTTCCCATTAAATCCCAAGGTGAGAAATCATGACGGAACTCATCCATTGGATTTTCCCGGTCATGAAGAATGGACTGCAGATTTGTTGGAGATGTGTAAGAGGGAACAACAGTACTGCCTTTCCAATTTGCAAAATTAGAAGATAAATATAGTGTCAAGATAACATCTATACGCCCACCAACATATAAAGAATTAAAGTCTTCCCAAACCTAGTGGTGTGCTATCAATCATTAGATGCACGACTGCCTGGAGAATTCTGAGAGTTGAAGTCCACACATCTTAAAGTTGCCAAGTTTGAGAAACATTGGTAGAGCCTCCCTGAGCTGTTGTTGAGTTGGGCAACATAATAAAAACAAATAAATCAAATTAACAACACTTTGGACAGTGCATATGAGTGAACTGAAAACTAGCACAAATTGAACAATATGAGATTTATTCCTCCAAAATGAGACCCCAGTATAATAGTGTGGATTTGTATCTGTTGGAATTTTAAATCATCTTTCCAAAGAAGCTTCAGATAAAATGTAATGCAGGAATATATTTTAGAGGTGATATTTTGCATATTATATAGACTACAATAGTAGAATTTTGAAGTGCATCATTTCAGACCATGCAGGATATGTTATGTTTTTCATGATTTATGTTCTTTTTTTAACTGCTGCATTTCCTTAATTGGTGAAATTTTCCTATTTTAGTAGGTTATCTTTTTTTATTTTCTGTTCCCCTCCGCCCCATGGGTTTCTTCTATGTAAGTATATTCAGATGCTACCAAGAGAGAAAAGTGTGTTCAAGTTCATTATCATTAATACTTCAGCTGTATGAGAAAGCACTCTACATTATCATTATCTTTTTAATTCTTACAAAGTTCCAAAATGATAAAATAAATTGCAGCAGTATTTGCAGTATGGCAGATAAATCTGTGAATGGTAGGAAACATAGTTTGATTGATAAAGTGATTATTACTTTCAGTTTGCTTTTTAGATGAGTGTGCATTTAAAAATGGCTTACCAATCTTCATTCCGAAATGTAGAGCAGCCATCTGCCATCTGCTGTTCTCCAGATGTGTCTAAAAGCTATCTGAGAAATCTGGAATAGATCTGGAGACCACTAATTCAGGTATGGCTGAGACTGAGCCTAATACCTGATCAACTTTCTGTGTCTTCATAAATACAACATGAATATTTGTTTAGATACTCACATGCATTAAACTTCCAAAAATTCTTTTTTTCTCAGAGAGGATAAACTTTTTTCAAGAGCCAAAATGAGAACACTACGGAGATAGATATGCTAAGTAGAAAGCTTGCCAACAGAGGCTTTATCCACTGCCATTTTGAGAGCTTCACTGAATTTTTCTTCCTATATAAATTAGCTAGAGTGACTACCTAATGGGTAATTGGAACAGTCACGCAGAGTCAGCATGAAATGCTGAACTGGCTTGGTGAACATCTGAAAAAAGAGCATTGGGAACCATCTGAAAAACTTCACAAGTTCTCTGTATATTCCATCATATTCAATTATGACAGAGAGCTGGAGGTCTCTTCTGAGGAAAAGAGCTAATCTTTTTTTGCTGGGAAACTTCCAGTTTTGCACCTGGTGAGATTCAGAAACTTAGTGCCAAGAGACAATATAACTATCACTCCAGATGATTTCTGCTCATCATTCTACAATACTCTTGCAAAATACATATAAAAATAAGAAGAAATATATCCACAATCAAAATGAAAGGAGGAAGTTGACTTATCTCTGTGCCAAATCTCTGATGTTTTTCTTTTTATGAACAATAAAATACATGGCTTGTTTTGTTCTGGTTTTTTTTTTTCCCCCTTGCTATGAATAAGCCTCCATTGTAACGAAATTGTGTTGGAAGCAAGATGGTTTGGCATGATAAAAAGATAGAGAGATATAGTGAAACAGTGTTAGTATAAACCAG